TCACCCCCCCAAGCCCCGTCCCATGGGCACAGCTCCACAGTGGACCCGCAGCGCTGGGCCCACAACCCCGCAGTGGCCCTCGAGAGCCGGACCCCGGCCGCATCCCTTACCCTGCTCCACTGCCTCGCGCATCTGCTGGTTGCTGAGGTTGGCGTAGGGGATGGCACACAGGCTGAAGGCCTCCCACAGCAGGATCCCGAAGCTCCAGACATCGCTCTCGGAGCTGTATCGGCCTGGGGGCATGGGGCGGGATGGGTGCTGGTGGCTGGGGACACCCATGGCACCGCTGCCCTGGCTGTGCCCATGCTAACGAGGGCTGGGGTACCCCGGGTCTCTGCCTCCCGCCCTAGGACCAGGCATGGGGATCAGGACAGTGTGCCCCAAACTCCTAGCTCCCAGCTGTGCCACGGGGCTGCCAGGCCATGCCTGGCTCCATCCCGTACCATAATTGAGTGCTTCAGGGGCGGTCCACTTCACAGGGATCTGCTTCATCCCCCCTGTGGAGGCGTAGATGCCATCCTCCTCCTCCCGTGACATCCCAAAGTCACTGATCTTCAGGACGTTCTTCTCCGTCACCAGGCAGTTGCGAGCGGCTAGGTCCCTGGGACGGCACAGAGCCATCAGCCGCACTCCTGGCTGTCCCCAGGGGCCTCTGCCTGGCACGGGACAGGGGGCAGCGAGGGCTCCAGGGCTCCCCCAGCACTGACCCACGGCTGATGGAGCCCACCTGTGGATGCAGTGCTTGCTCTCCAAGTACTCCATGCCGGCAGCAGCGTTCTCTGTCATCTTGATCAGGTCCTTCACCCGCAAGTGGGGGCCCTCGCTGCGCAGGAAGCTCAGGAAGTCCCCCCCTGCACCCAGGATTGACTAGCTGGTGGGCGGCTGCCCTGGCACAGCGTGGCGAGCTTGCACACGTGTGCACCGGCTGCCCCGGCAGGGTGGGGGCTGCAGGACGGGTCTGCTCACCCTGCACAAGCTCCATGACGATGTAAATGGGCTGCTTCTGGGTGCAGACACCGATGAGCCGGACGATGTTCGGGTGGTTGTACTGCTTGAGGATCCTGTGGGGACAAGGATGGGCACGGTGAGCCTGTGGGGGCCTGGCTGCCCCACACACAGGCCGTGTCCATGCCACCCCCAGGACCAGCCTGGGGACATGGCTCTCAGCACATGGATGCTGCAGTCCCAATAGGGTTTGAACAGCCCCAAGTCCCGAGGACAGACAGACAGATGGGCCGGGACAAGGGTGACAGCCGCACAGACCTGGCTTCCTGCAGGAACTTGGCCTTGAGCTCGGGTGGGAGGGTTTCCCGGCAGGATTTCACAGCCACAGGGGTGTTGTCAGCACGCAGGCGGCCGCTGAACACCTCCCCAAAGTTACCCTGCCGAGAGACATGGGTGCAGCGGCACAACTTGCCGTGGTGTGGCCCAAGGAAACCCCTGTCCTCCCACAGAGCCCACGGGACAGCCCTGTCCTCCCACAGACCCCGCACAGAGAGGGACCAGAGCACCCTGACTCACCCGGCCGATGCGCTCCCCCAGCAGCACGTCCTCGTGGTTGAGCACCCATTTGTCCTGCAGCAAGTGAACACTGAAGGCGGTGCGCCATCCCCCAGCCCACCCCAGGCCCACATCCCACCCCGCCCCTGCAGCTCCCTCACATGGAGCCCTGGACGGGGGTCCCCAGCCCCCCGGTCCCGTCCCTCCCCACGGGCTGAGTCACCACAACTGGCTGGAGAAGCGTGCTTGGGGCTGCCAGCCCAGCCGTGGGCAGGAGAAGGGGTCGGGCAGGGCTGCCCCATGCACAGGGCACGTCTCCTCCTCCCCACTGCCTGCTGTCACCTTGGGCACGGCCCTGGCCAGGACGATCCCACTCTTTCGCGTGATGGGCTGCTGGCTCTGCAGGAGGTGCTCGATGAGCAGCGGGATGGTGGGGAAGCCTTCCCCCTCCAGCCGGTACATGTTCTGTGGGGAGGGGAGGCTGAGGGGTTTTCCTGCACACACGTGTGGGTGTGCTCACAGGGGCTGGGGTGCATGGCTGTGCACGCGTGGATGAGCGTGCACACATGCACATGGTGCGGGACATCCACGCGCACCGGGCACGGCAAGCACGCACAAGTGGGTATCCATGTGCATGATGCAGGGCTCACACCCTTGGCCCGTGCAAGGACGAGTGCTCACACCTCGTACCGTACACCCGTGCGTGCACTCACACCGGGGGCCGTGCCCGGGCAGGGACCCCTGCCTGCCCACACAGGGCCACCCCTGGCCGTCTTGCCCTGCCTGGGGTCACTCACGTCAGCAGCCTGGATGATGAAGTGCCGGGGCTGCCCGTCCCACAGCACGCTGAGCACGTACTCCTGCTTGCCCTGGCTCTCCCGCACCAGGAAGTCCCCGCTGCAGCTCAGCAGCTCCTGCACCTCTGAGCGCGGGATGGCCCCGTGGTACCAGACCTGCTGGCACAGCGGCTTCTGCACCTCCGGGATCAGGGGCACGGGGGGCGGCGGCTGGATGGAGACGGGGGTGAGCCCAGCCGTGCCCCGGGGTCGTGCCAGAGTTGGGGTCAGCAGCG